CCCACTCGTCACTCATTCAAAAAGCTTAGAAGGTCCTTTCTTCAGAGAAACACATGTTTACAGGTATTATTGTATTTTCCAGTCATGGAAAGCTTTAGAACATAATGTTGACAATACTGTTGTAGCATAGATCAGAGCTTCTTAAACCTTTTGCTCTCAGGACCCCTTTCCACTTTTAAAAACTATGGAGGAACCTAAAAAGTTTACTCTACTTTATTGTCACTGCACCTTGTACAACAAAATCAAAGGCTATTTTCAGTGCACATCATGACCATGACCATGAAAGTAAACACAAACACACATAAAAAGGCTTCTTTGTATGGATCATATTTATCAACATTTACCATATCAAAAATTAAACTTGACACATTCACAGACTCCTATAAAAATAACAATATTAAACCTGTTAGGTATCTACCATATTTTTCATGAAAAATTCCTGTATTTTTAACAAATACAAAATAATGAGAAGAGGGACATTGTTTCAAGTTTTTGAAAATATCTTCAACATCTGACAAATAATTTTGATTTGAGACTCCCAGGGGTTCTTGAACCACACTTTCAGAAACACTACTTTACACCAATGAATGACAGCTAATTGGGTTTCAAGCCACATAGGCCTCTGTGGGATCAGCCTCCCCCAATCCCTTCCCCCAAACATCAGTCAGTCAACAAGGATGAAATGCAACATTAACCTGGGAAACGTATATTTGCCTTCATTCGTGATGAAATAATTAATTTGATCTGGGCTCTTAAAGCCAATCCTGTTCCAAACCCCCATACTCCAGGAAACGCTCTTACTAAGATGCCCAATTACTTGGCCTCTGCACTGGGGATCCTGCACTCTTGAGCTTCTTCCAGATGGATGAAGGGAAGTGATTTTGGGGTATCACCAGATGCAATGAGCCATTGAGACCCAGTTTGGTGTAGTAGTTAACACATCAGACTAGAAACTTAGTTCTAATCCTCATTTAGGCCTGAATCTAGCAGGATGACCTTGATTCTGTAACAGCTTTGTTCCCTATGCCGTCTGGTAAACTCTCAAGATTCGTTTTTCTCGCCATGTCCATGTATGCATCCGAACTAGACTGTATTGCTTCTGTGTGTCATATATGAGGGTATATGCATATCTTTGTGCTTATTTATTCTGTCATGGCTATGTAGCGTATATTGGAGGGGGTGACTGTTTGAGAGGTGTATGCAACGAAATTTCATTTTAATGTATGCCGATTAGTGTACACTACTGTATATATTGTGCATGAGCCGTGGTGGCACAGTTGGTTAGAGTGCAGTACTGCAGGCTACTTCTTCTGGCTGCCTGCAATTTGGCAGTTTGAATCTCACCAGTCTCAACGTTAACTCAGCCTTCCATCCTTCTGAGGTGGGTAAAATGAGGACCCAGATTGTTGGGAGCAAATAGGCTGAGTCTGTAAACCGCTTAGAGAGGGCTGTAAAAGCACTGTGAAGTGGTATATAAGTCTAAGTGCTATTGCTATTCCGGTTTTGCATCTTGTGTAAATTTCTATTGAATTTAATGCATCATGCAAACCAGATTAAGGTTTAATTTGATAATTAGGAAGCATGTTGGTCATGAAGTGTGGGACACAGTGTAGCATGGGGGTTAAAAAGTTGCATTGGGATTGGAGATCCAGGTTTAGGTTTCAAGACACATGGTGGCCCAGTGGTTAGAATGCAGTACTGCAGGCTACTTCTGCTGGCTGCAGCAGTTTGGCAGTTCAATCCTTCCCAAGCCTTCCATCCTTCCGAGGTGGGTAAAATGAGGACCCAGATTTTGGGGGCAAGAGGCTGACTCTATAAACCACTTAGAGAGGCCTGTAAAGCACTGTAAAGTGGTATATAAGTCTAAGTGCTAGTGCTACATTCAAATGACAATAAAGTTATTGTAAGTCCTTTCTAAGTTCTAAGCCAGTCGCTTTCTCTCAGCCCTAACAAGAAGGCAATGGCAAGCTCCTTCTGAAATCTCGCCAAGAGATTTCTCCGCAGTCGCCAGGTGTCAAGACTGCCTCGAAGGTGCCAAAGAAACCCAAAATCGAACCCTTGCTTGAGGCTGTCAGGACCTGCTGGTGGGTCCAGATAGCCACAGAAAGACCCCAAAGCCTCATCGCTTTGGGCCCCATCTTTCCCTCCTTTCTAGGGCGGCTTCTGGAAGGGCAGGGACGGCCGTCTCCCGAACAAAGCGGGTCTCCCCCCCCCCCCCCCCCCCCCCCCCCCACTGAAGGCCTCGTCTCCAAGAAAGCCTCGCAGTTGCTTACCACCCCTCCCACCACCCCACCCCGGGCAGCTCCAGCCCGTGCGGCGCCCCACCTGCTGCGTGAGCTCGGCCATTTCCTCCTCCTCCGGGCTCGGGAGTTGAGCGAGGAGAGGCCTCCGCTGCAAGCAAAGCGCCCCGTACAGTTTCCATCCCGACGCAGCTCCGGGGCTGTCGGAAAACGCCCTCCGGCCGGCGCAAAAACGGCTCCAAGTGCGGACGGAGACCAGCACCCGGCCGAGGGGAGCCATTTTACCGCCAAAGGCCCACCATGCCATGCGGGGCCGGCCGCTTCCGCCGGGAGCGCGACTTCCGCTTCCGGTAAAACTTCGAAAGGAGGCGCTTCCAGGAAAGGGGGCATTCCGGCCAAGCTGTTGGTGGCTTTGCTCAAAGTATCGTTTCGCTTTAAGGCAGCCTCCAAGGCAGGAAGTCTCCAAACGTGACCACTTTGAGACTTGTGAACTTTAACTCCCAGAATTCCTCAGCCAGCTACGCTGGCTGGGGAATTCTGGGAGTTGAAGTCCACAAGTCTCAAAGTGACCACGTTTGGAGATCCCTGCTCCCAGGGTTTCCACCTGATTGACAGGCTGTGAAGTCAAGCTTCCTGGGTTCAGCCAAGACCCCTAGATCCGTGGGGGGGGACTCTTTTGATCCACGTGTTGAGAGAATGGCTGGGACCCTGAAGTGCCCTAATGTGCTATGTGCCAAGCCCCAAAGGTGCTTTTTTTTCTGGAGGCAACTAGTCTTTCTTGTTTTTTTTCTTTGAAGATGTTTTGCTTCTCATCCAAGAAGCTTCTTCTGCTCTGACAGGATGGTGGGGAATGGAAGGATTTATGTTCCTTGCAGACAGCTGGTCATTTGCATCCTTTTAGAGGGTAGTTGAAGCACTTGGAGGTTTATCTGTGTCTTCAGGGTCAACTGAGTTGTGCAAATGGTTCCTGTAGTCAGCAGTTTTTCCTCTGGAAATCCCTTCCTACTCCCACCCCATTCAAAGGGTTAGGGTTAGGGTTATATTTTCTGCAAATCTGTGGACTTTTACAGAGGTTTAGCTATACAATTTGGGATGAACCCCCTTCGAATTGTGTGAGAGTAGGAATGGATTTCCAGAGGGAAAAATTGCAGGCTGCAGGAACCATTTTCACTACTCAGGTGACCCTGAGGACACAGATTAACCTCCAAGTGCTTCAGCTACCCTCTAAAAGGATGCAAATGACCAGCTGTCTGCAAGGAATATAAATCCTTTCATTCCCCACCATCCTGTCAGAGCTGAAGAAGCTTTTTGGATGAGAAGCGAAACATTTTCAAAGAAAAAGACAAGTCCAGTTGCCTCTTAAAAAAGCACCTTTGGGACAACCATGACCTGGATAACTGAGAATCTCTACAGACTTAGTGCTATGCTAAGCCAAGCTTCATTCAAAATCCAATCCAGGCCTTATCAGGGTCGTAGACCTTGCCTGCAAGCGCCGTTCATAAGACTCCAAATGCAGAAGGAAGGCACAATAAAAAGCCTTCCCTTCTTATTCTGTATTAATCATGGCTTAGTGGGACTCGTATTCAGCATTCATATATCTTTTGGGTTCTGTAAAAGTAGGTAGGCAAGGGCGAAAAAGGACTTTTCTACTATAAAACAATATTCCCCACAAACTACTGGAATTTCCTCTTTGTAAGGGGATTAATTAGACTTTGAATTATTTTATTGTCACTTTGAATGTACACTAATCTGCATACATGAAAATGAAATTTCGTTGCATGCAGCTCTCAAAAGAGTCTCCACCTCCAATGTACACTACATAAACATTATAAATTAATAAATTATTCATATACCATGACAAAATAAACACAGAATCATGCGCATACCCCTATATAGTATATGACACAGAGAAACAACACAGTCTAATTGAACAAGAGCCAGAAGCGTGGGCTCCTATATTCATCTGGTCATTCCGTCAACAATAGAACATAGAATATCAGTCGGAAGGGACCTTAGAGGTCTTCTAGTCCAACCCCCTGCTCGAGCAGGAGACTCCCTTATAGTATCATTGCTCAATTGAGCGGCTTGGGATTCCCGCAAGGCCATTCCCCACAAGAGCCTAAAAAGCAGGGTTGACAGAAGAAAGTACCCAAGGGTACTTTTTTTTTTAATTCCCAAGAGGCAACTTTCTGGTTTTTCTTTTTGAAGACCTTACGCTTCTCATCCAAGGAGCTTCTTCAGCTCTGACTGGATTCCATTCCCCACCATCCAGTCAGAGCTGAAGAAGCTTCTTGACTGAGTAGTGAAACGTCTTCAAAGCAAAATCAGAAAGTCCAGTTGCCTTTTGAAGGAATTGAGGGGGAAACACTTTTGGGATAATCATGATCTGTCAGGGGTCTCCAACCTTGGCCACTTTAAGACTTTGCTGGCTGAGGAATTCTGGGAGTTGAAGTCCACGAGTCTTAAAGTGGCCAAGGTTGGAGACTGCTAGGGATGACCGAGAACCTCCATAGACGATGAATGAAGATGTTTCATACTCGGGAATACATCTCTAAAAAAACAAAACCAAATCGTACAACGCTTCTCGGCGGCCCTAAACCTGGTTAAACTTCCCCTCCGCCCCGCTTCAATTGTCAGAGAAGCGAAGGGGGAGACCAGCCGCCAGCTCCCGTACGGACGTTCCGCAGCGAGGGCGCGGCCATTGAAGGCTCGCCTATTTCTCCGAGTGGGCGCCGCCATTTTTTTTCCGCTCCAGCCACGCATCGCGAGATTTGATCGGCGGCGGAGACTCTGTCCCTTTGGAACGCTCGGAGTCCCGGACCGCGGAACGGGGGGGAGAAAAGACCATGCAGGCTGCGGTGGCCATCGCCCGGCGGGGGCTGTTGGGTGGCGGCTCGGGGTAAGGTGGGAAAGAAGCGGGGTGGTCTCTAGGTCTATGGAATGCAAGGGTCGGGCTCCTGCTTGTCAGCGGAGGAAGGCAGAAATCCAACCGGTCCAGACTTCCTGTTGCATTTCTGCCTCCCTCCGCCCCCCTCCTTAAACCTCCATGCACCGATGACCTTAGGATCCCAGGTCAATTCAACGAGGATGATATGTGCATTACCTTGACTTGACTTGAATTTCACTTGAATTTGACTTGGATTTGACTTGACTTGAATTTCACCTGAATTTCATCTGAATTTCACTTGAATTTCACTTGACTTGACTTGAATTTCACTTGACTTGAATTTCACTTGAATTTCACTTGACTTGAATTTCACTTGACTTGACTTGTCCCATGGGTTGGAAAGGAGTTGGAGAACTACAGTTCCCATCATTCTGCCTCCCCAGGGCAACCGGTCTTAATCCCACCCTTTTAACTCCAGGGGCGAGGACTGCTTTGAGGGAAGACTTCAGGCAGCCTTTCACAGGCAAGGGTCTGCTACTTGACTGTAATCTCCACGCTTCCTGGGAATCATGGATCCTGTAATCCCAGACCAGTTGCAAGTCTGCGAGGGCTGGCTGATGAGGAATGGAGCTTTGAATCCCCATTTGCTGCCTCCAAAGAAGAGAAATTGAGAAAATCACACTAGACATTAGCCAGGGGGAAAAAAGACAGGGTTTCTCCCTCTCCCTCCCGCCCCACCCCCCCAAAAAACTTTAAGCATTAAAAAAGGTAATTGACAGGCTACCGCTATATCTGATGGTTTCTTTATTCCTTTTCAGGCCCTTGTTTTGTTGGATGGGCTGACAAAATGTTTGTTGAATTATGTCATTGAGCTTAATGAAGTAGTTTAACTTTTGTGTTTTTACTGTGGAAACCTTAATTGTATGGGCATCAAGATTGGTCCTAGCTGAAAGAGGAAATCATGGAAGTAAGCAGCCATCCATTAACACTGCCCAGGTAGTTGGGTGTGCTAGAGTCCCACATCTGGAAGGTCAAATGTTGTAAAATTATCCTCTCTGCAGCTGGAAGCAATGGGCCAGCCTTGGCAGTTCATACGAATTCTGCACTCGTTCCTCAATACGCTGTTCTTAAATTTGGATCTCTTTTTTATTTATTTGCAACTGCTCCAGCATCACCTTTTCTCGGAGTATACAAACAGGCATCCAGAGATTTCAAACGTTACTGGAAAACTCAGACTCAGCAACAGACAAAGAGCTAGATTCCACACAGTCAAAGGGCTTCAGGTGAGTTAATGTCGCATTTTATGGGATGCAGGTAGCTGCTTATTTCTAGGAAAAATTATGGTGTGCATAATTGCAATAGTGATTGGGCATTTTGTGAATACCGGTATTTTGGAGGGGGGCAGGAAAGAGACAAATTGTGAAATGTAACACTTCAAAACCAGTTCCCACTATTCTGTCAGAGCTGAAGAAGTTTGATGAGAAGTGAAACATCTTCAAAAGAAAAAACACCAGTTGCCTTCTGAAAAAGCACCATTGGGACTTCAAACCAGTATGTGTTTCTCAAAAGTTACATTCTCAGGAATCCTTTAACAAAGATGTCACTTTGTCTCATTGTTTTCTTGCATATTTGCAATTTTTTTTTAACCATCAAAAATGTCCAGGAAAGAAACAAGCAGAAAAAAATAGTCATGTTTGCATCAGTTTACATCAAGCATTAGAGAATTTATGAAGGTATATAACAGGGGAGTTAGGTTGCTTCAAGGAATTTTGCCAGTGCAGAAACGGAACTCATAATATTTGGTTTTCCAAGTTTTGAAAACATTTAATTTTTCAGAAATTATGATTTTTGCCATCATAGAATTATAATTCATAATATTTTGGTTTTTCAAATTTTGAAACATTTAAATTTTTCAGAAATTTACTTAACAATTTTTGCCTGACAGAATTATAATTTATGATTTTTGCCATCATAGAATTATATTTTTTGCCCCTAGTGATCACCTGTTTCTTTATTTTCAGAGCTTTTAGGCTGATCAGTATACAACTCCCAACTTTTAATTGGGGCTAAAACTCTACAGTATATTTAAAAACAACTACTACAGCGTGTTCCAATGGACCCAAACCTCACAAATAAAAACATGGAACAACATCAAATGAAAAGCCCAAATGCATGATCCAAGAGGCAGTCAAAACAATGCAACCCATCAGCTTAATGGAACAGCCAGGTTTTCACCGTCTTTCTAAAAGCCTCAAGAGCTTATTGATTCATATTTTTAATGATTTTGAGTTTGGACGAGAGCTGCATCAAAAGGTGGTCAGTCAAATTTCAGGAGAGGGAAAAGGCACTCCAGTTCCAACATCTTTTTTTTTAATCACTCTCTTCCTCCTAAGCGCTTTGGGCTAGAATGAGAGACTACGTCTAGTTGTCTTTAGATGTCGTTATATAAATGGAATATACATTGCACTGCGCTATAATGCTCTTTATTTGATGTTAGCTTACTGTATTGTGTGAAACTGATTGGCTTTGAGTTTATGAACAATGGTTTACGGCTTAGTGTGTTCCAGTGCAGGCAAAATGCAGATTCTAGAGTGGGAAATTGAATACCGGTACAATCCTATTGTGTGAGCATCTTTGAACAAATATCATCATCTTTTAATGACCTCATAATCCCTTGCAGGGTGGAGTCTGGGAAACTGAATGGAGTTGAGTGTTTACTGGCCGGATGCCCTTCCTGTCACCAATGTAGAGCTTTGTTCAGCAGATATGTTATCATTGTGCCCAGAGAGAAATATTTGCCTCTACCTAGGATTGAACTCACAGCCTTCTGGTTGTGAGGCAAGAGCTCCACCTCTAGCCCATTGCACCACTCATCTTTGAACAAATATGCCCATTGATAATCTGATAAAAATAATCCTTACACCTCTTGAATATTGAAGAAGGGGGCGGGGGGATGCCTGAGCTGTTGAACTGGCTGGTGTGGTTACCTTCTCTCTTGTTCTTTTCAGCTATTTCCCTCCAGTGCCGGGAAAAGAAAGCTCCTTGCAGTGGGATGGAAAGAAGTTTGAAGAAATCCCAATAGTTCATATCAAAGCTACCTACAATAAGTGAGTGAGTGGAGGTTCTTTGTACAGAATAGTTAGCAATAGCACTTAGATTTATATACCGCCCCATAGAGTTTTCTCTGGGCAGTTTACAGTGTCAGCATTGTTGCCCCCAACAATCTGGGTCCTCGTTTTACCGACCTCGGGGGTGAGTCAGGATCAAACTGCTGGCAGTTGGCAGAATTAGCCTGCAATACTGCATTCTTAACCACTGTGCTCATTTAATTATCTAATGCTACAGGTTTTGTGGGTGGTGATTCAAGGACGCTGGTCTTTAATAACCTAAGTTTCTTTCAAGAGCAAACTGCCAGGTGCAAAATGCAAGGCATATTTATAGTGAAGTGCTATATATAGTGTTTTATTGTGATGCTACATAATGCCACCCAGAGTTGCCTTGTAGTTAGGCAGATAATAAATTTTATGGGTGGATGGATAGAAGATAGATAGTCAGACAGATAGACAACAGGGGATGCCTGCTTGTTTCCCTTCTAACAGAGCAGCCTAGTCTCCAGTTCTTTGCTTCTACCTTTGCCTGATCTAAACCCTCATGTAATTGCATGTAAATGATGACGATAATAATTTATTCTTGTACCAGGTTGGCTAAAGACAACCTAAGTATCAGGAAGCTTATTAGAGTAGAGAAACTTCTGGCGACAAAGCTTACCATTACATTTGCTTTGGGAGTTTGGGCAGAGCTCAAGGTTGTAATTTAAATGGGGCTGGATTTTTATTTGTTTCTTGGGCGGGGCTGTTTTGTAACCTAAGTTAAAGCTCTTGTAGAACTTGGACGGAATGTATGTGGGAAAGACCTGGAGAGAAGATGAAGAGATACTGCCTAGGGAATGGTCAGATAAGAGATAGCATATTCCGCAGCTGGATGGTGGACAGAGCAAAAACCTCAGAAATAATCCTCCCTATTTTCCTGGGTGTAAAGGAAATGGCAGGAGATTTGTACTTTCAGACTTGCATTAACTATGCTGCATTAATTAGCTTTACAGTAAAGTACAACCAATCCGATCGTATTTTCTCTCTGCTCCATCTGGTAAGACTGACAATGCTACAGTCTTCATGTTATTTCCTGTCTTAGAACAGCGAGCACTAAATTGAGTAATTTTCAGTAGTAATTCTCAAGGAAACTTCTGAAAGTGACAGAGAAAGAATCTCAGTGGCTACAAGTTCACGTCCCCACACTCCTTTGAGGATTAATTGCATCCTTCCAAATGGTCAAATGTCTAAAACAGCCTGCTCAAACCTGGTGCCTATCAAAGACATTGGAACTGGAGCTTAGCAAACATACCGACTGGACCTGTTAAAAACTGCAGTCTGAGCACATCTGGAGGGCAGTCAGTTGGGAAGAATTATCCTAGTTTTTAGTCCATTTTGGAATAAGTGTGTCTCAAACTGGCAGTGATTCTGTTCATTTTTTTGCATCCTAGTTCACCCATTTGCTGTTTCCATGGGAAGAACGCAAGAGCTGAGTTAAAATATTAGGGGTTGTTGTTGTTTTCCAGACAGTTTGCAGGGTAATCCAAAAGTATCACAAGAATATGGATTTCTAACCAAATGTTGTTCCTATCATCCCATGACACCTGTAGCACTCACATCCAGGTTTTCACAGCTGAGAAAGTCCCTCTGGTCCTACTCACCTGTGGCTACATGGGGTTCAAGAATGCAAAGAAATCGACAGCTCTTGCAGCACAGACAACTGGAATTGCAGCAGGAAATGTAAGTTAACATCCTGTTCTTCGAACCAATCTTTCCCTAAGTTAAATGGGCAAAATGTCAACTCATAAAATATTTATTTGGTCTTTTTAGAGTTGCCAACAGAAAGGGTGGGGGGAACAGTGCAGCAGCTTGCAAAATCAAAAGTGCATTCCATAAACGTTTTCAAAGATTGTAACTAGGTGACTGAAGTTTCTGCTGCGCAAAATTCTAACTGGAGAGCATGATTGATGATTCTTGGCTATGGATGTGTCCTATTGGAGAATATGAATTATGATACACCCAGGGGTAGGGGGAAACCAGGGTCAAGAGTGACAATGAATTGAGTCAGAGTTGGCTACACCCAGGTAGTGCCGGCATGTTAAATCTCAATAAATCCTTTTTAAGTTTTGGAAGTTTGGCTCCAGACTCATGACAAATGGGGGTAACTTCCGGAATCCTGACTTATCAGGCTGACCAGAACTGGCTGAATCAGGCTTCTTAAATCAGCAACTCTTATTTAACTTCCAAGGAATCCTTATTATTGTGATCCTAATATTTGCTTGCTGTTTGAGGCACCCCTTTGAACCATTGTTGGATTCTAAAATCCAATTGCTTATACTTAGATAAGATGATCAGAGAACGATCACAAACAAATGATTATAAATGAACAGAGACCAAGATCAGGGACTGCTTGGTTTTATATACAGTATTAACCCTAGAATCTAAAGGATTTGCCTAGTTTTTGGTTTTATGCAGCAAAAGGACAGAACTTTATTAATCCTAGATTTATTGCATCTTTTAACCTGTACCAAGCAGTGGGAAATCCATTTGCAGAGAAACTTTGCTCCTTCTTTAGGGAGTAACTGTGACTCACTTTCTGGTCCTTTCTCAAAAAGAGGGAACAGATGAAGAAAGGGTTAAAACTGTACTTTGGAGAGGAAGTCAAATATTCTAGTCTGACTAATCCATGCTGCTGGATTGAATCCATTGTGGATTCACAGTGGCTAGGTTCACATATGCCCTTAAGCCAGACCTCCCTCCAAAGGGACTTCAGAGGTATGAGTAAGGTGTTTATGCTAAGTTAGTCTTTGTTTAAGTTGGAACAGAGAATTTCATCTTTAAGCAACTACTTTCCTGCTCAGAATTGACAAAACTAGTCAGTTTCACATCTGCTTTTCTTCCCTGCCCTTTGCATACAATGCAAATGCACCAGCAGCCACCAGCCCACTTTGCAAACAGCCCGGTGAATTCTCCACTCTGTGTCTGTTTACTCTCTTGCAATCCCTTCCTCTCCCATCTCTCTCTCCTCTGCAGGGGGGGGCGGGGGGAGAAACAGGTCATGTACAGGACAATGCACACTGGCCGTAATGGCAATTGTGTGACTGACGGACATCGCTAAATTCATAAATGCAGACATAAGTTGTAAAGTTACTTTTTCAGCACTGTTGTTTACTTTGAACATCACTGAATAAAGCATTCGTTAATCGAGGACTACCTCTGCAGTCAGATCAATGCAAAACAGAACAGTATTTACAAAATACAATCTTGTATTTTATAAGGTGTCAGGTAAATGAAAATATAGTAAATCAAGGACGCCATGGGCCCAGATGGAGGGTCTTTAAATAGCCACTAGATGGCAGTCTTAGCCCAACAGACTTACTGTAACCATTGTCAGGCTTCTCTGGAAATTCCCATTAATCATTTTGGATGTAGGAAACATTTAAAAGAGCTATGGCATAGCAGATACGGAAGGTTTCCAGCTGAGTATTTTAATTTCCCCATTCTAAATGTAGCAAGATTCTTGTGTACTGCAAGCAAGCCATTTCTTCCACAGTGGGTTGAATGTAAATGACTTTTGTAAGTACTCTTTACTTGTGTGCATTTTCAGGTCTGGAAAATGACGGCAAATAGCAGCCTTCACCAAATCTCTGGACATGTAGGACTTCAGCACCCAGCGTTTCAGCCAAGATAATCAGTGGGTGCTTTGACTGGAAGTCTAGAAGTGAATAGCCAACCCATTTGTGGGAGGTGCTGGTTGATCAAGAGTGATTTTGCTCAGCCACAAATCCAAAAAAGATTCCAGCCTTCCTATTTATACAGGACAGAGATCCTAGATTTCTGCAAAGCACCTTTCATCACTGCTCCCTTTTTCCCCAGTAGCTCCTGTTCCACTAGTTGTTCTAATGGGGGGTTGGGGGAAATGAGCAGTTCCATTGAAGCTAGGATGACGGTGGCGATGACGATAAACAGATCACAGAGTATCAAGATCTGAAAATCAAAATTGAAGGATTATTGCCTAAACCGGCTCTGGTGGCCTCTGTGGTTATCGGCACCCTGGGTGCCATACCAAAAATAAAAAAGTCTCAATGCCTAGGGAGGCCAATACCAGCTAAAGAACTGGCAGCTGTGACTTTACATCGCTGTGAGCAATTAGTTTATTAAACTCCGACGCTGCCTGACTCTGAGCAGCTCTGAACAAAGAAAGCACCGTAAAAATCAATAATGTCTTTTGCTCGAAAGAAAATAGCGGTCTTTGTCCCACTGAGTAGAAGCTCCTATTGAGAGGAAAGGGCAAATAGGATCTCAGTTGAATGCCGGAGTAGCGGTCATTATACTCTTTGGTTCATTGCATAACGTGCTTCTTCCCTCTCTCCCTGTCCAGAAAGCAGCGAAAAAGGGCGTGTATCACGTTCGAGTCGTGGTGAAAGGCCTGGGACCTGGGCGGCTGGTAAGCACTTCCTGTTTCTTTGTAGTCGTTCTTCAAGTGAGAGGGAGTCTTTATTGGCTGAACTCCTGCGTTTATCAAGGGCCACGGTGATGGAGTGAATGTCACTTAAGTGGGAGTATCGTGCCAGAAAGCTGAGAAAAACAACAATTGCATGCCCTGGAAGCTTCTTCTCAATTTCAAACGCCCTTCCCCATCTGCTGTCCTCCAGCTGTGTTTGACCAGAAGCCCAATACTTTCTCAACGATTTGGCATTCTTCATGCTGGCAGGAGTGATGGAAACCAAAATCCAACTCATTGTTGTGGTCCGCCGGCGACCTGTGGAGCTGGCAGCAGAGTCGGACAGTGGAGAGGACCATGGGCCAGTCCAGGAGTCTGGGGAGGGCTCAGTCGAGGGATCTGCATCTGACACAGAGATGGGGCCAGGGCCATTTGAGAGTTATGTGTTGACTTCAGAGCCTCCAGAATCTGACATCAGCGAGGCAGAGGAACAGGGGGAGTCTGTTCCCAGCGCGTGCTTGCGCTGAGCTGCCAGATGGCAAAAACAGTTAAGACAAAAGGAGCGACTCGGGAGTAAGGTTTGGAGATGATTGGCCCCTCCCATAAGACATAAAGGAGGAGCAAAGGGACATGAGCCTTTGCAGGAAGCAACTTTGTTTGTTCTGGTCGGTTTAAAATCTGAAGCTCCGTGTTGACTGTGCTCCGTTTGGTCTTGTACAGCTAATTGCCAATTTAGTCGTTGGCAGCATTTCAAGGGAGATAAAGGTGGGTGCTTATCAGCCTTATCCCGAAAGACTGTGGCAGGCTTCTGTTGGACTATTCATAAGCTGTTTGGGACTCATTACGGCTGTGAATGCATATAAAAAACAAGGTTTTGGGGAACAGTGTGTGATTGTTACTATCTCAGGAAGCCTTGGTCAGAACACTCATACAGGGGACTGACCAGGTTGGAGACGGCTGCTGGAGCTAATCTGGCATGGCAGCACCTTGGCTACGATGGCAAAAAGCTAATTGAGGGGGCTGCCAATGGAGCATTTGTCTGCAGCTGCTTAAAGCAGCTGCATCTTTTTTCCTCTCCCCGTTTGCACCACTGCTCTCTGCAGTTGCAGTGTCATCCTGGGAGAAGCTATCATTAATGTAAAGACAAGTTGGGTTTATGGAGCTGCCGACGGGTATAGCAAATCAAACAAAACACACCCCAAATGTTAAAAAGTTACGATATTTATGTAGTTTGCTTACCAAGCACATCTTGTAGGTAGTTAGCTTATTTATTATGTTTATATAGTTAAATACATAAATAAAAGATATTTATTTAGTTAGCTTTACCAGCACACCAGAACAACTAGACACAAAACAACTAATTCCCACAACTGTCAAACTCTGTAACACTAAGACTGTATTACTATTATTCTTCTCATGCTTCTTATTACCTTCCTCCTTCTACTTATGACTACAACCTTATTGCTTGTATCTCTATGATTTATATTGTTTTATTTACTTTCCTGGTATGATTTTGATTGCTTATTTAGTATCCTATGACTATCACTAAGAGTTGTATCTTACGATTCATGATGAATGTATCTTTTACGTTCACTGAGAGCTTATGCAAATTCCTTGTGTGTCCAATCACACTTGGCCAATAAAGAATTCTATTCATCTAAATTATATTAAAGTAACCAAAATACCTTTAAACAATCCCCAAGGCATGTCACAATTTTTGAGCACCCCTAATGTTTGGAAATCGAAAGTGAAAATTTTTGATATGCCCTAACCGTAGTGTGTATATATCTCCAGCAACAGCAGCCTTTTGAATCTGAAGCAGATAATGCTAAACTAGATTAACCAATTGTTGCCTAAATATAAGGCAGCCTCCTTCGATTTCTAAATTGTTCCATGGGGGGGGGGGGGGGGGGGAGAAGGGAAATGCAAAAGGTAAGATGCTAGATATTTCAGGCATCAAATGGGAGATGCTGAAACTTTCCAGAACCTCTAATTCTTGGCAAAAAAACAGCAGCAAGTTCTAAACAAGCTCTGTCTCTTGTTTGAAAATCTTGAACTAGCTTCTCACATTTCACAAAGGTATCATAGAGATGGTAAAGCTAATCTAATATTGTATCCGGCAAAGCAAGATTTAGGACAGGGGTGTCCAACCTTGGCAACTTTAAGACTTGTGGACTTCAACTCCCAGAATT